GGAGAAGTGTTGCCACTGGGAGTTGAACCTGTAGCCTCAGTCATGCTTATGTAATACTGCAAAAGCGGCCACTTTGCCCACTCTACCATAGGTCTGTGTATTTGTACAGGCAGCTAATGCACTATATAGATCTCTCAACCTTGCCATGGCACTTTTAAACATAGTCTCCTTACAAACACCTATGATATATATATCACCAGAACCGGAATTTCAAGGAGAATCCGATGGTGACACTCACTAGTCATTATTTACTCAATTATAAACATTAAACATGGAAATACTCCGAAATTAACTGTGTTTTAATATAGTCTATGTTTACCCAACAAACAGATATATGTGAGAAAGACTAGAAAGGTCAAATCTCTTGAAAGAGGTCAAAATTTGTACACTGCTATCTTTATCACTAAGTGGCATTCACAAACTGCCAGAGGAAATTTCACTTCTTTCAAATTGTGATTCACTCTAGGGGTAAAAACCATTGCACTATGGCAGACATAATACCCTTGTTTTTTTTTTACAAAAAGTTCAATGATAATTATATATATAGAGTAGAATATTGTAGTCATATACTTAGACAAACAGTAAGATGTAAAAGAACTACATCACTATGCTGTCAAATAACACCTTTCTGAAAGGATATTTATAATCATGTGATACCACAGTTTGAAGCTACCTAGCAGTTCAAGTTTTGACTAGGGTTAGATTGAGGTCAAAAGTTACCAGTGAGATATAGATTGATAACAAGAGCTTGAAGCTAAAGTTAAGTTTACTTGAAAAGTTACAAATGAGATATAGGTTGACTCAAATTTCTTGAAGCTGGGGGTATGTTGTATTCAAAAGGAACAAGTTATATATGCTTGCTTTAACACTTACAAGCAAGATACAGGTTGAACAAAACCCTGAAGCTGGGTGTAGGTTTATTTCAAACCCTATAATATGGATATAGGTTTACTTCAAAAGGTACAAGCTAGATATAGGTTGACTACAAGTGCTTCAAGCTAGGTATAGGTTTGCTTCAAAACTCATAAGCTAGAGGTAGGCTGAGAGTAGGTTTGCTTTAAAACTCACAAATGGAATGTAGGTTTGCTGCAAAATTTTAAAGCACAGGGATATGTTCACTTCAAAAGGTACTACAAAATCTTGAAGCTGGGGGTAGGTTTACTTCAAAACCTACAAGATGGGTATAGATTTACTTCAAAAGCTGCAAGCTAGGTATAGGTTCACTTCAAAACCTACAAGATAGATATAGGTTTACTTCAAAACTTACAAGTTAGATATAGGTTGACTACAAAATTCTGAAGCTGAAGGTAGATTTACTTCAAAGGCTACAAGCTAGGTATAGGTTGACTACAAAATCTTGAAGCTCAGGGTGGGTTTACTTCACAAATTACAAGTCAGATATAGGTTCACTACAAGATCTAGAAGCTAGGATTAGGTTTGTTTCAGAGTTAAAGTCAGGATGTAGTTTCTCTACAATGGGTGACATCCATTAAAACTACTTTTGGCATGTCCAAAGATGTTCATAAAAGACCAGAGTTCATGTCTCAATTAGCCAGAAATTAGTGACCAATTAGTATGGGGTGGTTTCCCTGATGACCGACAACGTCATGGGCTATGTCACTGGAACAACGACTCAAACTATCCGCATCTATTCCAAGGACTCCCAAAGCTATCACGAAGAAATTGCTGAGTTCTTCCTTGCGAATATTGGCCTCTTTGATATAATCCTCGGCACAGACTGGCTTGAAGCACACAACCCAGAGATCAACTGGGTGACACATGAGGTAGACATGACTCGCTGTCCCTCTGCATGTAAATCGCACAAGAAACCTGTCAAGCAACTGGCCACACATCTTGAACGCCGTCAACAGTTCCCCAAGGGACTTGCCACAACGACTCCTCTCCCCATCCTACCACCCATTATCAACGCTGAACCCACATCGACCACACTGCATACTCCGAAACGTCACTTCCCTGCCCGACGCGTCAAAGGCATGCGACTTAGCGCTCTCCCAGCACGCCTTTTCACTGAAGACGATGACGAGCACCTTGTTGTAGATCCCCAGTGGGTCTATGAAGGCTTACGTTTGGCCGGTATTCTGCCAGACCCTGACGCCGAACAACCCAAGAATCCACATGAGGAAATCCCTGAGGAACCTGTTCACATCCGCGCCGCGTTCATTAATGCACAAAAACTTGCAGAGCGTGCTTCAGGATCATCCACCGAGTCCAAGTCCTTTGAAGACATGGTCCCCTCCCCATATCACGCCTTCAAATCTGTCTCAACTCTGGTGGGTAGCTAGGTAAAGCAAAGGCTTGCTAGAGTAGGGCACCGCAAGTAAACCCAGCTGCAGCTAGTAATCATGTAGAATAGCTGGCAGCTAACCTACCAGATGCCCTGGTAAAACAGCCAGCTAAACTGCATGTGCCTGCAGCTAAATTACGATGCTTTCCAGCTATTTTACCACTCTGTTACAGCTACTTTACCACCCCTCCTGCAGTAGAACAGGGCCTGCTAACTACCTGGGGCCCTACTCTTTACCTCCCGGGCTTGGGCATGTGCTCCTTCCATTTTTGGCATCCTTGGCCACCCCTGGCTGACCATATCTTTTTTGGGACTATCCTGCCAGGCTGCCAATACAGCAGCATTGCCTGCATATTATATTGCTGTAAATATGCCCAAATGTGGGAGGGAATCCCTTTTGCCCGCCTTGGGCTGGATCGGGTCGCATTTGTGCCGAATTCGGCTTTGTGCAGGTCACAGGATGTACCCGGGCGCTTAAATGCACGACTTAGAGATTTTCGTTGCTCTGGTGGGGAAATATGCATTAATACCAATAAAATGCAGGAATAAAAATCATAATGTACAGTATTACTCCAAGTCGTAATGATCAGAACCTAGTCCACTTATGCTATCATCAGAGTCCGAGTCTGAGTCGGACCCAGACTCAGACTTGGAATCACTCCGTGTCCGATCACCTCGCACAGCTGTCTCGACGATTCCTGCCGGTTGATCTCCCAATCCTGGTGTTATTTGTGACGACGTTGGTGCTGCTGCGTCAGATGGGCTCACTGCGGAAGCGAGTGCTGCAGGCCACGCTACCGAGAGGCCAAATACGTGCACCTTTGGCTAGGGCTCGTCACGAGCTAACTCGTGAGCTGACTCGGACTTGTGTCACAGGTACCTGTGGGGTTAGGGCCACTGACTCGGATTTGCACATGAACC